ACACACATATATATACACACACACATACATATATACATATATATAATTTATATGCATGTATATTTTTAGTAGAGACAGGGTTTTACCACGTTGGCCAGGCTGGTTTCAAATTCCTGACCTCAAGTGATTCACCTGTCTCAGCCTGCCAAAATGCTAGGATTACAGGAATGAGCCACTGTGCTTGGCCCAGAAGTACACAAAATTTAAATCTCCAATTCACACTAAACTTTACTTGGGCAACCAGATAAATTCCTTGTTGCTCAGATAATTCCTGATTAATGTTAATTTCTGTTGCCCAGGGAATTCCTTCCAATATTAAGAAACATAAATGCATTTTAAAATGCATGATTTTAATATTTTATTATGCTAAGTCACAATTATAAATATATATTTAACTATTAATGGTTCTAGTCAAGTCAAATTCTAAGAATTCTCCATCCTTCTGGCCTTTCTTTTGGAGTCACCATATGCCAGCTCACACTGGCTCACACCAGCTCAAAAGGGCCCACTGTGCACATTTTGTCCAACTCTGCAGTCAGTAATGTCTTGTTGGCAGCTTGAAATGGGTCAAAGGAGTACTTACAGCACAGAAATCCACAAGTGCTACAAATAAAGACTTTCTTTTTTTTGAAGATTCAGTTGCTAAACATTTACCAACATACCATGGCCCACCCACTTCCTCCTCCTAAGTAATATGCTCCCCAAACAAGGCTTTTTCCTATTTCACTTTGATCTCAAAATGTATAGGGTCTTGTAATAAAATAACCTGCTATTTCTTTGCAATCACTGAATATGTGTTCAATTGAGACTTCGGCATAACAAGACCAAAACTAGAAAAAATAACCTTAGGATAAAGAGCATGCATTAGTCATGGGGCATCTCTGGATGGAAAGTATTTTGATTGACAATATATATTAAGAAACCGAGGCCAGGTGCAGTGGCTCACATCCGTAATCTCAGCACTTTGGGAGGCCGAGATAAGAGTATCTCTTGAGCCTTGGAGTTTGAGACCAGGCTGGCAACATGGTGAAATCCTGTCTCTACAAAAAATACAAAAATAAAAAAATAAAAATAAAAGCCAGACTTGATGGCACATGCCTATAGTCCCAGCTACTTGGAAGGCTGAGATGGAAAGATCACTTGGAGCCTGAGAGATCCAGGCTGCCGTGAGCCATGATCATGCCACGCGCTGCACTACAGCCTAAGCAACAGAATGAGACGTGGTTTCAAAAAGGAAGGAAGGGAAAAAAGAAAGAAAGAAACCTAAACATTAATAAAATGTACTAAATCACTCCTTTGCTTCTATCTTGACAGTGGCCTCCATTACACAAAGAATGAAACTTACCACTTTATAGCCACATTTAAAACGGTGGATCACGAGGTCAAGAGATCGAGACCATCCCGGTCAACATAGTGAAACCCCGTCTCTACTAAAAATACTAAAAATTAGCTGGGCATGGTGGTGCGTGCCTGTAATCCCAGCTACTCAGGAGGCTGAGGCAGGAGAATTGCCTGAACCCAGGAGGCGGAGGTTGCGGTGAGCCGAGATCGCGCCATTGCACTCCAGCCTGGGCAACAAGAGCAAAACTCTGTCTCAAAAAAAAAAAAAAAAAAAAAAATGGTGTGTCACCTATTCAAATCCAGCCTCATTTTGCACTAGCACCCGAAGTGAGGGCTCCCTTTCACTTCCGCTCCTTCAACTTTCCTATTCTTTTTTCTGATTCTCTTATTAACCAAACTCTTCACTCTGCTTGAACACTATTTTCCCAGCTTTCCTCATCCTCCTTGACCTCCTTGCAATCACTGTTTCACTCCTCCCCCACTCTCCTCCTCTCCCTTTTCCTCCTCCTCCTTCTTATTCTCTCTCTTTTCTGTCTTTATCTCTGCCTCTCTATCTCTATTACCTCCTTCATGTCATCCTTTCACTCTCCTTCATCATAGTTTAATTCTTACTTCTGCAAAGAGCTCTTATATGACCAGGCTACAATCTTGCCATTATTATATATTTTACCACCCTACTTACTTTCTTCTTACATTTATTCCCATTTGAAACTCTCTTACTTAAGACTCTGATGACTTTCATTGCCTTCCCATGGTTGACTATAATATTCAGGAAAGCAAAAATTGTATCTGTCTTTCTTGCTGATAAATATTCAGTTCCTTGGACCAGTGACTGAAGGGAAGAAGGAAGGAAAGATAGGAAGGAAGATAATTTAGCATCCTGGCCTTGATTTACAGAGGTTAAGTTACTGAAATATTAATTTCATTGGTAGGCAGCTTCATTTGTTAAGAAGTGTCTCTTCTTGGACTATAGGGACAGGGAGTTTTTAAAATCCACTATAGATGTCAACTGAGACAAAATATGCAAATATGCTGCCCTGATTTTAGGCATGAAAACATTTGCTGGAGTGTAGCCATCAACAGATGAAAGGTTAGAACTTTGTGAAATATTAATAATGGGGCTTTAAAAAACAAGAGCAATAGTGTTTATCCAAAGCATCAGGTTTGCAGTCACTCTACTTTGTGAAGTTTTTTGAATGTGTAACATATGATACTGTTCTGTGTACTTGACATTTCAGGCTAAATGTAATGGATGGTGAACAAGGATGCATTCAGGAAGAAAAGGGAATCAAAACAGGCTTATATCTCTAAATGAATATCAGAGTAAGAATTTTTGGTTTCAATCCTTTTGGCAGATCATTTGAAACAATTTGATGCTCAGCCCATGGATTTGAAAATGTTTTTAAAGCACAATGTCAGCATCCAGTTAATTCAAAGACAAATTGTTTCTGAGACTACTGCTGATCTGCCTAGGATAGCTGCAGGATATATTGCTTTATCCAACATTAACTTAGTAGCTGGAAAATATCAAGAAATATTTTCTAAGGCTTTGGAAGGTGTTATTTCAGTGGCTCTGATTGATTTCATTATTATTATGCCTGAAAATGGATTGCTCGAGCAGTGTACAACTTAACTCCCTGTCTGCCAGGTAGAAAAATCAAATCTTTGTCCTTGAGGACATTATAACTGAGAAAGGAAAGATAATCACACAAAACCATACATGGAAATAGAGATGCAAAGATCATCACCTTGCCAAACACAACTTTGATTTAAAAGAAAAGGAAATTATATAATAAAACACATGGCAAGAGTGATTACGGGGATTTGATAACTATTCAATCAGATTTTCCATTTTCTGGAATATTTAGAATGGAATTAACCTAAATAAGTTATAAGCATGATCATAGTATCAATAACACTTCTTTGAATGTAACAAAGTTATGTAGCAGTGAGGGATAGGATACATGGAAAGGATAAGGTCTGTTTGTTTACAAATATCATGGACACCTTTAAGTACAGGAATACTTTATGACGACAAAAAAGTGTAATTTTCTGTCACAGGCTTATTAAGTGCTTTAGACAGCAGGGGAAATAGGAGGAGATTGAAGTAATAACAACAGCACAGTATTCTGAAGGAAGAAATAGCTAAAAAAATTCTCAATGTATTCTCAAAATTAATTTGTCTTTGTGAAAACAGGACTAGCTTTTTCAATTTACATTAATCTGTTAAACCAAGCTCAAGTACAGTTTACTCAAATAATATATCCAGTGTTAGCTTAATTAATTGATTATCTGACCAATTTAACCTGACCAATTTAACCAATTATCAGACGTGTGAAAGATAATGTCTCTGTAATATTAACAATCTGCTCTCACTGTTTAGGATATAAAAAGTTCTATAAAACTAGATTAACCCACAAAATTATCCTAGACTCTGTTCCTTGGGGGTTCTTTTTAATAGAGGCCGGGAGAATTTAGAAGGATTAAAATAAATGCAAAAATAATAATAATAATAACCTTGTGATTTAGGCCATCATCACTTTCCTCTCACAATGAACCATCACCAGAGTGAAACCTCAAGATGCCACCATTGTACTGATAGCCCTCGGGCTTCTGTCAAGATGTATTTTCTCACTGACATCAGCCACTGGTGGTCCTTTAAAGCTGGTTTCGCCCAGATAAATATAATCAGACAGATGAGAGGATGGCAACATAAGTCACAAATGATGACATTCCTCAAAAAAGTCTGCCCTGCATCTATGACATTTCTCAGTAGATGTTGCTTTTGAAGAACCTAACTGTGCTTTCTATGATTTTTTTTTTCCAGCCAATACTCCCAGTCATCCTAATACCTTGCACAACACAGGGAATTTGGAAGATTCCTAGAACTAACTTATTTGGCTTAAACACACCTGAAGGGGAGGGTCATGCCCAAGTAACTATAAATGGTCAATGAGAAGCTTTAGCTACTCCTTTGAGCAAAAAACATTTCTACCAATATATGTCTGTAGTATAGATAATTGAGAATAAATAACCATAGTCATTTACAAAAATACAAATTGTTACAGGAGCTGTTTTATAAAAAGTGTGTGAAAGAGAAGAAACTCAAGAGAAGGAATTTTAGCAAGGATATAGCTAAAAGTAGCAGTGGGTAAATGGTCCCATGCTAGGAAGACTGTCCCCCTGCAAAAACAGAAAACTTGCCTTGCTTAATTCTTTTCCAGCATTTTTACTATACTGCAAAAGAGCCTTCCAAAAATATTATCTCATATGCATCCTCAAATGTCTAGTCACAAACAATTATTAGTACCTTTTAAATAATCAACTTGTACTCTGAAAAAAAGAAGTATATGACTTCCCCCAAAAATAATTAATGGGAAACTAGTAAATACGTGCCATTACTCATTGTTATACTTCTTTTTTCATTGCACTTTTCTTTGTAAGATATAGTATTTAATACTCATGCATAATGCTTTCTTGGCACTAGGTCAGTATCTTCCCAATGAAGAGCCCATTGATGATACAGAATGGAACTTCTTTTTCAGTTAAAGACTGCCTATTATCCAGTGTCCCTTTTGTCACACTGAAGAACAGAGAACTTTTTATTCTTACCAAGAAATGGCCTTTCAGATTCAATAACAACATGTTCTGTTCCTCAGGAAATAAGAGAAGATCGAGATAGGGCACGGCTGGACTCCATGGTGCTGCTGATTATGAAACTAGACCAGCTTGATCAGGACATAGAGAACGCCCTCAGCACCAGCTCCTCTCCGTCGGGCACACCAGTGAACCTGCGGCGGCATGTTCCTGTGAGCTTTTCACTTTCCACTTCTTTTCCCATAGAAGTCACCTCTCTTTACCTTATATAGTCTCTCTTGCAAAGAAAACATCCTTCTTAATAACATCTACCAACATATGACCCAATACGGTACCATAATGATAACTAAAATGCTTCCGTGCGTCATGCATACATTCTATGCATTACTTCTACACAGAGAGACCCCACAGACACGGGTGATACAAAAGAACATGTTTATCATTAAACAGGAAGGAAAGTCAGCTTGGGAAATTATGCTTTGTAGTTATCAATCCTTCCTTATCAGTCTTCTCTGATATGAGAGAGACTCTAATAGCAAGCACTATGTCTATCACTGTCCCACAAATTTGTACTGCATGTAGAACATGCTTACTATAGATTTGCTGCATGGATGGATGGATGGATGGATGGATGCTAGTTGAACTAACCCAACACACTCTAAGAAAGTATTTAGATATTAACTTCAGAAAACTCTAAAATTTACTTACTAAAATACAGTGAAAGAGACAGAGCTGTGGATTTCATTTTATCATGCATGAATTTTATGTGATACAAACACTCCTCTGAGAGTCCAACACTCAAAATTTGGAAGACAGATTCTAGGATCAACTATATGGCTTACATATTTATTATCAGCATCATATTAAATGGCTTAGTTTGTACAGATCTAGGAAACGTGATGGTTGAATTTGCTTATAAGTAAGCTGTGAATCAATTTTCAACTCATCCATTACTTGTGTTATTCAAGAATAAACACATTAAGAAATTTGTGTTTACCTGAGATCAAAGCAGTAGAAAACCATATATATAAATTTGAGCACCTACTCAAATATAACCGTTGCATACCAAATGATTTGATACAAATTATTCTGCCTCCATTTAAATCTAAACTGGATTTTATGTTGCACACATTATCTCATGGAATATCACAATTGTTAACTCTGTAAATAGAGATATATTCAGAATAGGCAAAATAATATAGTGGAAACATTATGAACTTTGGAGTGTGAAGGCCTGAGTTCAAATGCCAGCATTACAGCTGACTTTCTGGGAACATAAAATATTTAATTTCTCAGCTGCAGATTCATGTGATAAATTGAAATATATTTCCTAACTAATAGCTCATTGGGAGGCATAAATGAAAAAAAAATGTATGTAAGAGAATTGCACGATTGAGCACAGAGTACATACTTACTGATGGTTAATTCTCCTTCCTCCCCCTTGTACTGGACTCACTCACACCAGGGCTTGAGCTAGAGATGAATAAGACATATCCTAAAAGCCCTCAAAACTCCTTCCTGGTTTTTATGTTTTTCTAGGTCACCTTTTGTTTTTTTTATCTATGTTACTTGGAATTTAAAGTTAATTTTAACACTCTTTCACCATCAAATTTTTTTCCAAAGAACCTTCCACTCCTTTTCATAATTACAAGGTCAAATAAGAGGATTACAATGGGAGGATTATGACCTTGAGCATCTGCTAAGGAGCTCTGACCCAGATACAGAGGACAAACTGCCTCTGCCCCACCCTCATACTTCACTGTGAATTTATAGTTTATCAGGAAGAACAAGACACACAGTGAAACACTCCTCACCCCCCTATTCCACCCCAGTTTGAGAATATTTATGACAAAATGCCAGAATGAGTTCTTCATGTAATAAAAAGTATCAAGAATAATATAGTCTTTAAGGATGTCTTTAACATAAAAAATATTAAAGCACAGGTAGAGATAGAGATTTAAAGGAGGGTTCATAGATAAAGCCTTACAAATTGACTAGAGCCTGATGAATCAATACAGCCCAGGATATGGTGATTTTCCCCTTTGCAAGCCTCATTTTATCCAGGTGCTCACAGCGTGCCAGTCTCTTAGAACTTCCTGAGATAGCCAATCTCATAGGATGAATGAGGGTAGGGGATGAGATGAAGACGTTAGTATTTAATGAGTGCTAACCTTTATGTAAGTTACTTCATTTAACCTCTTGATAGTTGTACTATGAGAAATCTGAGCTTCAGAGCGAGAGGATGAGTAATTGACCTGTGTTCACACTGATATGGAGTGGTAAGTTATTTACCACAGGTCACCCAGCAGGTGAGATTTGCATCTACATCTGTCAGACTCCAAAGCCTATCCTCATTCTGCTATAACAAAAGCCTTCCCAACATGCCAATTTTCTACTTACAATGAGATAAGGTCCATTTCCAGAACCAGAATTCCCTGGTTGTTAGACAGGGCATTTTCTTCCTAATAATCAGATAGTTTTCAAGTTTGAATCAGGAATAGTTTTCTAGTCAATGTGTAATTAAGGGAATGTTGACGGTCTCTTGGGATATTTCACGGATACCATAGAGAAGTTCAGACACATACAGGCCAGAACCACTCTGCCACCTTTGATTGGGCCTCCCCTGCTGTTCTGCGGTATCTTTGGGTCTCCCTGCATCTTCTCTACTATTTCAAGGTAGCTATTCAACAACTTTACCTGCACTTATCTCTTAGCATCATTACCTCTTAACACTCTTGCCCTCCTCCACTCATAGAAAATTGAGACCACTGAAAGACGTCCTGGCATCACACCTGCAAAAGGTATAGATGCCTCTTTGCTTCTTTCTCTCCTCTAATATCAATAAAAGATGTGTTGTTCCTGCCATGTAATACTGACCTGTCTCCATCCTCATCACTATTCCTTCCCACCTCCTGCTTTGTTCTACCAATTATTCACACTCTCACTTAGGTTCAAATTCCATTGCTCTGTTCCTACTAGTTCTCACTCTTTTTCTCTTTAGCAAGTATAGCTGGGACTACAGGTATGCATTGCCATGTTTGGCTATTTTTTACTATTTTGTAGAGATGGGGTTTCTATGTTGTCCAGCTCTGTGTTCTAGAGTTCCTGGCCTCATGCAATCTTCCTATCTTGGCCTTCCAATGTATTGGGATTACAGGCATGAGCCATCACACTCAGCCTCTTTCTTGATTTAATTATTGGCTATTGTTTCATCATTTCTCCCCATCCTTCTCTTATCTGACACATCCAGTAGTGTCCGTGCAGCCTCTCACCACAGCATCACATGTGCTTGAATTGCTTCTCTTCCTTGACTTTCACTCCTCTCCTGGCTTCTGAATGCTCTCCTGTTTTTCCTTCCATTCTTCAACAGTTGCTTTCCACACATTTCAATGGCTCCTCTTCCTGCATCTGCCTCTGAAATCTTATATCTAGGTTCTAGACTCAATTCTCCCTTTGTCTGCCTTTGAATATTCTTTCTGGGAATCACCATGGCTTCCATTCCCTTCTCCATATTGAGGGTCACCAGTGAGACCTTTTCTTGTGATCTCCAGATCAGAACAACCAACGGATCACAAGATGCACAGGTTCCTGGCAGAGCCGAGTGGTATATGCACTTCTAGCACGTGTAGTCCCTGCCATGATTAAAAAAAAAAAAAAAAAAAAATCCTCTCAGAGAGCTCTGTATTTCCATTGTCTGGCATAATTGGAGGCATAGGGTAACACTGATGGTTGGAGTCTTGCAGGAAGATGGCTTGTAGGATTAATTATACAAAGCAAGGTGGAGGAGTCACAGGGAAATTATGAGGTGGCAGTTGTGATGATAATCCAAGGCTTATTTACTACTTGGTTTGCTTAAGTAGCAGTGGAAAATTAAAGGAGGGAGTGGATGTGAGAGATCTTGGAAAGCTTTTGGGTTATTTCTTAAATTGAACAGAGGACAGAATAGAAAATAATAAAGATTTATACTAAACTACACATTGATAGCCCTGTTAAAATTTATTTATTTAGTTGTGTTTGAGGCCCCCGCAGAATATCAGGGTGATTACTTTAAAAAGTTGAATTCTGGGGTACGACAGACTTCAGCTCTAATACCAGCTCTGTCTTGGGATATGACTTTGGTCAAGTTACTTACTTTAAACCTTGGCTTTGCCATCTCTTGTGTGATGATGGTACCTTCCATGTGGAGTTGGTGAACACTGAAGCAGGGAATGGTTGTAAAGCATTGTCTGTGAAAGGTGAAAATGCAGTAGAGGGTGGAAGAGTTTCTAAAAGTCATTATTTCACCTTGGAAGCATTATATGGTTAGAAAGAAGGAAGATTCCTCTGTTACTTATCTAATCAAATCACAAACAGGAAATTAATGCAAAATATTTCTAATATACCTAAAGGTAAAAAATAAATGGCTTGTAAATTCCCTGCTACTTATAACTATGCATTCAACGTTGATAAATTAACTGCTATTTAAGGCTATTTGATGTCGATCCAATTTGAAATTCTAATGAATCACATTTTTAGGGTAAAATGCTGATCTTTTCTATACACAAAAAGAAGACATGGCCCTGATATGAAATCACTCAAGGCATCAAAAATTTGGTCAGATTTATTTATTTTATGCACATGCAAACACACACACGCACTTGTGCCTACACACACATCTAGAGAGTATAACATTACTTTTTGCTGTATATGTCTTTTGTGCCCTTCCAACTGGAGAACATTTAGTTTCAATGTTTTTGATGACATAATTTTATAGCAGAAACTATAAAATTACTTTTATTATGAGAATTAAGAAATACATTAATATTTGTCAGTCTAGTTGTTTTTTTCATAAAACTGTATTTAATGATCATGTTCTATCTGCCAGGCTCTATTCTAACATCTGGGGATACATCAGTAAACAAGACAGGTGAAGTCCCTGCACTTGTGATGCATAGATTCTAATATAGGAAGACAGACAAGAGAGATGAATGCACAAATGGATAGGTAGGTAGGTAGGTAAATTCATAGATGATAGATAGATACATGATATACAGATAGATAGGTGGATGGATAGATACATACATAATGTTGTAGATTAGCAAAGAGGATTGTAAAATAGAGAATGATATACTATAGAAGTTGAAGGGAGGAAACTTCTTTGCTTTGAAACATCAAAGGATACTTCTCTGAGGTAGTAATATTCAAACTGAGACTGGAGTGACAAGAAGGGACTAGCCAAGGGAAATACTGGTGTGAGGGATAAGAAAGAGCATAGAGCCTAGTCCCTGCTGTAGATAAAAGCTTAATTCAAAGAAATGACAAAGAACAGGTAGGCCCAAGAAACACGAGAATGGCAAAGCATAAGACTAGAGGGTTGGAGTGCAAGTCATGATATTTACCTTGTGAACCACAGAAAAGTTGAGATGTAGAAAGAGGAGACACAGAGATATTTAACTCATAGTTTTCACATATTAAAAGCATAGAGTGATAGGTGCCTTTGCTCCATCCCCTCTGCATTTTCCCCTCCCACGTTTCCTCTGTGCATTCAAGTCACCTACGATTCAAAGAAAGCATATAATATATTAAATGCACAGCCTTTGCAAAGGTTACCAGGTAATCATATCCACTCAACAGACATGTCTTGACCTCACACTATGCAGTAGTTGCTAAGAAAACATGATGAGGTTAATAATAATATTTATAGGAGTGGCTAGCATTTAATGAAACTTATTCGGAGCCAATTATAAGCACTATGCTTTATGCTCATGAAACTCCATGAGTGCCTACTATCATCATACCCATTTTCAAACAAGGGAATTAAAGGATACAGGACAAAGCATAATTCCTGAGTTCAGTTTATTACATAGACAGACATTTGAGCTAAGCTATTCCAGGCCTCTGTAATAGCTGTCACCATAGAGGTTGAATAGGAACATAGAAGAGATTGAGGTAAGGAGAAATGAGAGATCTCTTTGTAGTTGAAATCCACAGTGGCCCCGTGAGGAACTCTGGGAAGCACCGTATAGCCAGAGGAGTGTCAGTCAGTGATTCCAGGTCACACAGCAAGGAAGGTGTGGCTATGGGCTTCTGCCTTCTAACTTCTCTTCAGTGCCCTAGCTCGTCACACTTCTGGCCCTTTCAATGCATACTAAGCTGTTAAACTACCAAAAAGTATGTTACCTCTTTCTCAAGTATTTGCAGACCCTCTGATGAGTACAATGGTTATTACGACATAATGCATGATTATGTGTGACATGTCAGTGTCAGCTGTCAGCAAAGCTTCAGTTTATCAGTGTGCACTGGGAGAAGGAAAGAGTGGCAAATTGCTGGTGGTACAAAGGGCATTTGGGAACATTCATATGTCCTTCATATCAGTGCATTTGTTTTTAATAGGATCTGGAATCAGGATCTGAAAGTGGAGCAGATACCATTTCAGTAAATCAGACACAAGTAAATTCGTCTTCTAACTCTGAGTCCACTGACCTACCATCTTCCAGCCCACTGGCCAATTCTGGAACCAAACCAAAGACTATGGTGAGTTCTAAATGATAACAGTCTCTATGTGTAAATGTTGATGAACATCAGGTAAGAGTTGATATTCATTCAATATAGAAAAATATACTGTTGGAATCTTAGCTGTAGTGACTTGATAATATTTAATGAAGTACCACCCTAGAAACATATGCTGTTGGTTTTTTTTTGTTGTTGTTGTTGTGTTGTTGTTGTTGTTGTTGTTGTTGTTGTTTGAGATGGAGTCTCGCTGTGTCACCCAGGCTGGAGTGCAATGGTGCAATCTCAGCTCACTGCAACCTCCACCTCCCAGGCCCAAGCAATTCTCCTGCCTCAGCCTCCTGAGTAGCTGGGATCACAGGCATGCACTACTGCACCCAGCTAATTTTTGTATTTTTAGTAGAGATGGGATTTCACCACCTTGCCTACGCTGGTCTTGAACTCCTGACCTCAGGTGATCCACCCACCTCGGTCTCCCAAAGTGCTGGGATTACAGGTGTGAGTTAGCATGTCCGGCCTGTTGTTTTATAAATGATAACACAAGTACTACACTAAAACAGGTCATGGTTTGAGAATTATTCAAAACATGCTAATTAAATTCAGTTGCTGGATTTAATTTCAGAGCTTTAAAGAACCAAGATTACAAAATCTGGAGATGGCTTTCCCTATGCTATTATCCTGACCACATTGCTTACCAGTTAGAAAATTGTCTAAGATGCGATAAATGATAGATGACATATGACAATGGATAGATGAATAGGTGATAAAGAGATGATAGAGATAGATTGTAGACAGATGGATAATGATATAAGGATATTTAGATTGATAAAGATAGACTAGATATAGATAGATAGATAGATAGATAGATAGATAGACAGACAGATAGTAGGCTTATATGGAAAGAGATATATAATCAGCCACATCAAAAATTTTCTGTGAGAATTAAATGACAAAGCACATACTAAAAATACTTAGTGAAATCCTTGACATATAATAAATACTGAATAAATGTAAGCTACTATCATTATTATTATGACAAATGAAAAGGCTAATTACCACATGGAATAATACACCATCAAAGGAGGAAAACTGCTTTGTTTTCAAATGCTTCACGTGTAAATAGTGAATACAAGACATTTTCCTTTAAGGAAAAAGTTGAACTGCCGCAGGAAAATAGTACTTGACTCTAAAATGTAACATTTATAGAGGAAGTAATTACTACTTCAGATATCTAAAATCCCAATAGTTCCAAAATAACCTTTCTTAGTTTAGTGAAAATCATACTGTCGTATTATTTTTTATGCCCATGTTAGCTTAACACAAAGAAACAAATTTTGATTGCTTGTTCACTGCCTTTAAAATAAAAGTCAAGTCTAAAATAGGACTCTCAAAAGATAATACTTAAAACATGATAGATATGCTGCAATTGCAAGGAGAATGAAAATATATCATTTAAATGACAGATATGCATGGTTTAAATATTTACATGGAGATAAATTCCCAATGTTATTTATATCTAAAACATTTTTATGGAATAAATATTTATTGAACATCTACTATATGCCTTGCACTATGCTACATGAAAAAGACTTGGAAAGGAAAAAAACATATTCCCTTTCTTTAAACAGTTTATATCCAGCAAAAGGAGGTAAATACGTAAACAATGAAATGCAACGAAATGCTATACAGGCTATGATAATATTGCCTATATTGGGAACAGGAGGAACTGGCAAGATACTGCAGAATGCTTTTTTGGGGTAAACTGAAAAATCTGAGTCAACAATAATGTGACCTGCCTGCCAGTTCTTTTCTCCCTCATATAATTAACAATGGTATCCACTTTCTGTCTTGGAACATACATATTTCAGTGAGTGAGCGTTTCATAATTCATAGCAATGTGTTGAAGAATGTGTGCAGTTGCTTAGTCTTTCTTCAGTAACCCCATATTGATAAATGTGGTCAATATAGTTACACAGAAGTACACATAAATTTTTATGGTAACCATTTTTGGTAAAACTTTTTTATGAGGAACATAAACTCATCAGTTCTCCCAGCATTTTAACTGGTTGGAGTGATGGAATCTTTCTTCAAATTTTTAATGTTTTGCCATATCAGTTCGCTACTCCACAATCACAATTAACAGATATTTAAATCAATTATCGAACAGAAAAAACATTTTTAAGTACTCCAAATCAAATGTTTACTGAAAATGTGTTAACGTGGAAGAAAATTGGATGTGAGTAGTATCCAGCTGTTCAGATGTGACTTGTCATCTGCGAATACAAGCAGAGCTTCCTAGTCATGCCACAACTCATCAGCCAGTGAGCAGTGAGAATCGTCATGCAGTTCACTCAGACTTCAGCACAACATTCCCCTTCAGGACCACTAAACTGCATAATCATAGTTAGGCAGTGACACGTACAGCTCTGCCCACCTACTGGACTATAATTTAGTAAAGTTCTCCAGCAGGTCATGAAAAGCACCCAGAAAGAAATGTTCCATTGTCAAGGACAATCGACTTCTAGGAAATTTATTTTTTAAAATGGCCCATAATAAGATTAACTTGAAAAATAGGCTTTTTTTTTTTTTTTTTTTTTTTTTTTTTTTTTTTTTTGAGACGGAGTTTCGCTCTTGTTACCCAGGCTGGAGTGCAATGGCGCGATCTCGGCTCACCGCAACCTCTGCCTCCTGGGTTCAGGTGATTCTCCTGCCTCAGCCTCCTGAGTAGCTGGGATTACAGGCACGCGCCACCATGCCCAGCTAATGTTTTGTATTTTTAGTAGAGACGGGGTTTCACCATGTTGACCAGGATGGTCTCGATCTCTCCACCTCATGATCCACCCACCTCGGCCTCCCAGAGTGCTGGGATTACAGGCTTGAGCCACAGCGCCTGGCTTATTTTTCTTATTTTTTTTTTTTTTTTATTTTACTTTAAGTTCCAGGACACACGTGCAGAACGGGAAGGTTTGTTACACAGGTAAACAGCCATGGTAGTTTGCTGCACCTATCGACTCGTCATCTAGGTTCAAGGTGGGAATGTAAATTAGTTCAATCATTCTGGAAGACAATGTGGCAATTCCTCACGGGTCTAAAACAGAAATAGCATTTGACCCAGCAATCCCATTAGTGAGTATATGCCCAAAGGAATATAAATCATTCTACTATAAAGACATAGGTACCTGTAGGTTTAAAGCACTATGTACAGTAGCAAAGACATGGTACCAACCTGAATGCCCATCAATGATAGGCTGGATAAAGAAAATGTGGTATATATACACCATGGAATACTATGCAGCCATAAACAGGAATGAGACCATGTCCTTTGCAGGGACATGGATGAAGTTATGCTTTTGTTTTGAGGGGATAATTGTTTCAATTTGTGTATGGGCATTTTATTTTTTCTTGTTATTGGTGTTGCTATTCTTTTAGGTACACCCTTTTCACCACAGTTCAAAAGCAATTCTTGAGCCATGGATCAATTTTACAGTTGGACTATCAGAATGAAGAATTTTGTCTGTGAGAGATTAAGTAGATACTTTCCCCTCACAATTTGGAGCTTAAGGAATAAATGATATATAATGACAGTCTAGATACTTTATGAATAAAGAGAAAACTGTAATATCCTACAGAGCTGTTCTTTTTACCATAAACAAAAGTTTTAAGTAGAAATATGAAATTCTAAGAACACCTACTCAATACATCAAACTATAATGAACTAACCCTCTTCTTTGTAATGGCACAATTTTACAGCATGCCTACCATCATTCCATAATTAAGGTTACTTTTAATTTGCAGCTATGAAATATATTTATAGTGGTGACTACAGTGACAACCACAGGAATTTGGCTTTCCTTTTGTGTGTAAGGTCTCTGGGTTTATAAGTGCCTATTTTTCAGTAAGATTATTTTTCTGGCCAGGCGCAGTGGCTCACGCCTGTAATTCCAGCACTTTGGGAGGCCGAGGCGGGTGGATCACGAGGTCAAGAGATTGAGACCATCCTGGTCAACATGGTGAAACCCCGTCTCTACTAAAAATACAAAAAATTAGCTGGGCATGGTGGCACATGCGTGTAATCCCAGCTACTCAGGAGGCTGAGGCAGGAGAATTGCCTGAACCCAGGAGGCAGAGGTTGCGGTGAGCCGAGATCGTGCCATTGCACTCCAGCCTGGGTAACAAGAGCGAAACTCCTCCTCAAATAAAAAATAAAATAAAATAAAATAAAAATTTTAAAAAAGATTATTTTTCTTTTAAAATTATTCTTAGAATAGAACCAATGAGTAGTCTTCAGATTTTTCATTAATTCTGTGTATACATCATGCTGAAAATTAAGCATTAATGTAGATTTCTGAGATGTATTTCATTAAAAAAATGAAAAAATTAAAAGGTAGGTTATCCACTGCCAAAAAAAAAAAAAAGATGCCCATTTTGTCATATCACCAAGCTCATCAGTTTCACAATGTCTTTCATACTAGACTCTTCCATAAACAACTCTTGAGCCCCTGTATCATTTTACGCAAAGTGCTTTGATTCACCATAGAGCAGTACACTGATATCACTCTCTCTTCAGTGGCTTGAGTTGTTCCTAGTATTAATTAACATAGGGTTGTTTCATGAAAGCTTTTAAAGCTGAACATTAAAATCTCCAAGGTTTTGTTGTTATTTTTCCTAAAGACATTTTACTTATAAGTGCAGATATTCATTAAATCAATATTAATCAAATATTTATGAAGAAAAGGGCCAAGCCCCAGATAACAAGAAGAAAATCCTATTTGTAAAATAAGTAACTAAAGGAACAAGGAGCATCTAGCATTCTGCTGTGTAGAACAACAAAGAACGTCATCAAGGGTACACAGGATATGGCTCCTGAACACTACACTACACAGGGATTCACGGGCTCACCACCTGGATTCAGAACTAACACGAATTGGTTTAGGCTGTTATTATATCAGAAACAAGATGTCACTAATACTTGAATGCTCAAAGTGCACAAGAAGAGATTTACCAAATAAAAAACATTGATTGGCTCATCAAAGCATAGTGTAGGTTACATGTTTCTAACATCATTTTCTAAATCATGCATCCACCACAGATTTATATATATATATATGTTTACATATGTGTGTATGTGTATGAATGTGTATATATATATACGTATATGTATACACACATATGAAATAGATTATATGCATATATTTATGTACTTGTATGTGTACATATATATTCACATCAGATATTGTATGCTGTTTTCCAAAAATAACATGTGATGTTGTTTTCTGAAACATTATTTTGATGTTATTTTCCAAAAGCCTGTGTTGAATAATCCTTAACTATACAGAATTTTTAAAGGGAACCAAATTAATAATTAAGTTCTTATGTAGTCATGAGATAATCTCAGTATAAATTATATTTATTAATTATATATTAAACTATTGCTCAGGATAAACACAGAAAGCACAAATGCAGATTTATTCATTGTTACCAATATACAGTGTGGTTTTGTTTGTACCTCGGATAGGAGTTTCAGCTCTGGAATGATCTGAAACAGAGTTTCAAAACAGAAAAGCTTACAAGGTAGAAGAACAGAGGTTAATGGGTACATTTTACAAACAATAATCAACTTGTTAATTATTGCTACTGAAAAAGTAAGACTTCCATGTAGGGTTGCTTAAAAATAAGAATTATAATGTCAATAAAATACTATTTCAGTGGAGAGTTATTTTTTAAAGGCTTCTAGGACAGTCTGATTGGGAGTGTGACATTAACCCATGATGAATTAGCCACAAAGGATTAGGAAAAAAAATTGTTGTGGGATTTATTAACAAATGAAATTCCTAAACCTGTAAAATTGTATTTTAAATTATGTAGGGATAATTTATGTATGCATGCTTTTACATATTTTATACATAATTTTAATTTTTATACATTTACACATTTCTGGGAAGACTGTCAAGAACTCCATTAGATTTTCAAAGACTGTGCAAATCCCCATAAAGATATGCTACATTTGAGTTTTCATGGTTCATTCAATTATTCAGTGAAGCAACCCAGTGTTGAACATGCGAACAGTCTTTGCTGCAAATAATAAACACGCTGCAGGTACATTGACAAGAGTTATCTCAATTGGATTTATTTCCTAATGGATCATTGCCTGGTATTACCTTTGCAACAAATTAGGCTATACTTCATGTATATGTGAAAACTGATTCTTCTATGAAACTATAAAACGTCATTTGTATTTGTTCCAACTATACCACATATAAGCAAAAATAAAATTAATCCAAAAACAAAAGAAAAACGACCAAAGCTCTCCATTAGTAATTTCAATGTAAACCCGGTTTTTATACAACTAAATTCAATCACATATCCATCCCATAAATATGATCATTAAGCTAAAGTCATTGTGCTTGTGACATATTAATGAGAGGTATTAAAATTGAAAAAAATGGAGATTCTACCTTTCACATAATTTTTAAGGATCATTTAAAATTAAATTCAAAGGCAAAATTTTAGTGATAGCTTTATTTTGTTTTACCATGTTATTATATACCATATGTTTGCTTACATGGTTATCAGATGAATTTTTTAAGAAGGCTGGTAATTTTCCCTAATGCTGTTGAGAATTTTAAAAAAAAAACTGAAGGATGAAGTACTGTCTTCTACAAGTAGAAGCTGCAAATGTTTATTTTCACTGAAGCCTTGGAGAAAGAATTCAAGGTAATAAATATAGAAAATTGGCTAGAATTTAAATAGCATTTCATAATGCCACATATATTATTATTAGCTTTCATATCCTGAGGAATAAAATAGTCAATATACTAAAGGAAAAAATGATATACATGGAATTTTTAAGGAAAATTTAGACAACTTCTTCAGAAACATAAAAAAATTGATATAGTACAGTTTTTAATTAACAGATTTAAACACAAATGTAATAGTCTTAGAAAAGAATGTCTGGATGTAATGCTTTTGAATATGGCAACTTCATTTTGTCATGACAAGGCAATTACATTAAAGTATGTGTATTTTTTAAGAAAGATTTGCTTCTGTTTGTAAGATCCTCTTGGTCTATGAGAAAGAAAAATAGGCAAAATTTATAGCTGTTTAAGAAAAACTGAGCCACCACAGAACTGGAAAAATGTTTCCAAAAAGGAAATTGTTCAAGTGATTATTATAATGTGATCTTTCTTAGAATTCTATGATTTCAAAGCATAGAGGATTTCATTCACCTAATCTGGAATTTTGAAATAATCAATAAATGTGTAATTCATTAACTTTGGATTTGAAAAATAGAAACATTTCCATGGCCATTTAGTTTTATATTTAACCTTCAAAATTCTCTCATATCTTCTTGTTTTAAGATACTGACGTCTGTTTCCAATCCATTTACATGTTAACTTAAGACAGTCTTGTCTGGGATGGGTTATTCCATCTTCACAGTCACTTCCCCATATACATCTTTCCACGTAATCTTGGAATTTTATTTCATCAAGAATAACTTGTATCTTGATTATATGTCACACTTAGCTCTGAACACATGATACTTAAATAATCTGAGGGTCTGGCAAACTTGCTTTTCTCCCTTGTGTTTAGTTTGTAGTAATCTGGTTAATTAAGTATCTGGAGCAGAATTCATAAAACCCAGAAAAATATGGGGAAAATGGAACACATATGAATGATAGGACAGTTAGAATTGAGTAGATTACCAGCATAATAACATTTAAAAACCATCCCTGCAACCTAAGATTTTAGTCATATGACTAGTACTTTGCATGTTATCATCATTACAATGAGAAAAAAATTAGTTTTTCCACTGCACCAGTGTGACTTCTTGAATTCAACTCATATTTTCATCCAAGAGAAATAACAACTGCCAGTTAGTTCTGGGCAATGTAAAATGGCAAGCCAACATCATGCCACATCACAGCAACCAAGAGTATAATTCATAGCACTGAGGAGTAATAATAACTGGTAAGCCATTTTCACAGTCTTCACTTTATTCATTTCAAACCTAGTTGTCACAAAACTCTACTTATGTATTAAATTTTTCCCATCTTTTTCTGCCTTCTTGCTAACAGATTGATAATTAATTCTGTCCCAGACATTCGATGGCCTCCGTGCTCACTTTTTAAAGACAGGTGAAGTCATCGAATGTTTAAGCAAACATTGCATGTGAATATACAAAGTTTACACGGAGGGCCTTCTTGACTACAGTTTTGGGATGAATCAGCCACAGAGTGAATTTCAAAATGAAACAATAAAAATAGCCAATCTATCTGGGTAGTCTGAAAATAACATATCTAAATATTTGGAATCTTGCAACAAAAAATTTAAAAGTAAAGGAATTGTTTACTCTGTATCCTCATGGAGTCCTGAGACACCATCCCTTGAAAACCTCCTGTATCCTTGACTGTTTTGGGCATTTAATGAATATATTATGTGCTAGTTTCATTTATTTTAAAATCAATAGTCTATACTCCTTAGATTTTTGTTGTCATTGCTGTGTT